AATTAACCTTTACCACAAGTGTTCCCCAAGTACAGCAGCAGATTGTAAAAATAGAAATTACCTGTGATTATTGCTATTTTCTATGTAATAACAGGTAAATGATACAATGGAATGCCCATAGAGTATAGTGTATTTTAACTCTTTTGTAGGGAAATCTAAAAGACATAGCAAGTTAAACGGGACATGCATCCCTCCTTAGACAACTGTCTCATTCAAAGGTTTTGCCTTTAAATGAGACACTTGTCTCATGCTAGATTAAGGAAAAAAATAATTAAATATGATATTTTTTTCATATTTACCAGTTTTTTTGTTTTGTTTTTTTTTTCGCTGCACTTTCTATATCCCCGATCCTGAACAGGTGCACAGCTATATGTGGATAGAGGCGCATCGTGGCGCTAGGCCCTGCCCCTCTCAATCGGCCCAGCTCCCTCACACTCTGCTCCACTTCTTATATTATACGCTTTTATCACACAAGGCACCTGGGACTACAAGTGATCTGGATTCCCCCTCCCTGTCCCAAGGTAGGAGGGGAACAAACTAGTGTTTTTTCTCTTTTCTTCATCATCCTAAACCCATACATGAGTCACTAACCCACCACAGCCCTTATTTGCAACCCCTACACCTGGCTACAACCCTTAACCCCCAATTGTAGCCCATACACCCTACTACAGCCCCTAACCCCCCAACTGCAGCCCCTACACCTTGCTACATACCCTATACCCTACTACATAGGGTCTGTAGTAAGGTGTAGGGGCTGCAATTGGGGGTTAAGGGCTGTAGCCTTTAGTCCCTACTACACCCCCTTACTCCACACTACACCCCACCTACTCTACTACAACCCCTAATCTACCTTCTACAGCCCCTTACTGTAAAATTGCAGCCTCCATACCCTACTACAGCATCAAACCCTCTACTAAAGCCCTTTTAACCCCTTAAGGACAGAGCTTCAGAAGCTTGTCTTTCACTCAATGACAACAGCATTTTTTTCATTTTTTGCTGTTTGCTTTCAACTGCAATTTGCAATTTGCATTTTACTAATTTATTGCACCGACACATATTATATATCGTTTTGTTTTTTTTTTAAAGGACAGAAAGGGCTTTAATTTGATGAGATATATATATATATATATATATATATATATATATATATATATATATATATATATATATATTATTATTATTTTTTTTTAGAAAATGCAAATAAAATGAGAATTTTTTTTTTTACAGTTTTTGCAATAATAATGTGCATAATTAGTGCAGGTTAAGGAAAGTAATTAAAAATAAATTCATTTAGTTGTTCTGATTTACAGAATATATAATGTGTCTAGGATTTTATTAAAGACACGGAGGCTCCTATTATGCATATCTTTCTTTATTACTCTCAGCAGCAAAGAAACAGATGAATGAATAACTGAAATGAACAAAAAATACAGTGCTCAAGCAACCAATCACATAACACAGGAAGTGACTATAACATGCTTGATGCACCCACAATCCCCCTCTCTTTCTTTGCTGCTCTTAGACCAGTTAAGTACATACTTTTCATGCTCTGTGGTTAGTTGTGAAATTTGGTATTCATTGTTACTTGCTTTTACTTGTTTGCCCCTTTTCTAGCCATATTGGCTTATTAGGAGCCTGTTGCTTTTATTCATTTCTTTTGTTTAATTTCCCCTGTGGTGTGCTGCCCTGGTTCCGTTTTCTCGTAGTGTGCGGCGATACCGCCGCCCGCCCTATCCCCTCTCCCCCTGCCGGTCGTGAGTGATCGTGGGGGTATCTTCACCCGACCCTGATTGAGTACACGCCGGTGAGCCTCCGCTTAGCTCGGCGGCTCCCGAGCGTGTGAGGGTCGGGCCGCGCAGCTCCTGCGCGCACGCCCCATCCCCCAGTGTCTCTGGCTGTCTCACCTCCCTACCTTGTGCGGCGGCCATTTTACCTCCTCCCCACCTCGATCTCGGGCGGGACGTCGTGCAGACACCCAGCTCTGCTCTCCTCTCCCTGGGCACACCACTAAATAGGTACAGGTGTTAATTTTTTCTGATTTGTGCATACTACATTGTTTTTTATATGGTATCTGTAGTTTTTTTTTCTATTTATTTCCATTGTATCCATTCTTTCTCTACTACACTGTTCCTTTGGGTTACTAAACCCTGAAAACTTTTCTTTTGCTAATTGTATACTTAATTTTTCTACATTTTTGTTTTTTCTTGCAGATTAATTATTTTTACTGCCCTTAAATCTTATCCATCAACTGCAACCATGCAGGATAAGGGTGATGGGCCTGAAGGCCACATTGATGAGTTTCCTCAGGGAGTTCCTGAGGAACAAATTGTGCCTGAGCAGTTCCAAGCCCTGTTGGACTCCACCATGGCGTCTTCTCTACAGAGAGCCCTTGCCTCCGCTATGGGAGCTATGTCCTCCTCACTTTCCCAAACTCTGGCGCAATCCCTTTTATTGTCCCAGGTGGCTACCCCTACCCTACAGGGAGTGGGTCCTGCCCCTACCCCCACCTCACTTAAAGCCCATAAGGCCACGGTGAAGGTAAAACACCTCTCCTCCCACTCCATGACGCAGATTATACCTGCCTTGACGGACTCGCCTGAGGCGGTCACAGATGGCGCGCTGTTTGATCCGGATGACCTGCGTCATCCCCGCTCAGGTGAGTGGGAACCACCCGAGCATATTGCCCGTTATATTGCGCAGGCCACTTTCTAAGGAGGGTCGCAGTAAACTGCGGGCAGAATGCCCTAGACCCTCAGTGCCAGGATCTGCATGCAAGACACCCAAAGTCGATCCACAGATCGCACAGTTTCTCAATAAATCGGGCTGGAAACCATAAAAAAGGCCTAGACTTTTCCCTGAGGAGTTGCCAGGACAAAATAATGGACACTCTTGGTCCACTGTCAAAGGCCTATGAGCTGTTAGAGTCCGCCAGATCGGGCAAGTCAGAACTTGACCTGGATGTAGCGATTGGCTGGGTACCATTTGGTGCCATTTGTCTGCTTGGCAATGCCAATATGGCCGTGTCCGCCGAGCGCAGGAAAGCTATCCTGCTCAAAATTGACCCAAAATTGGCTAGCATGGCCATATCCCAACCAGGTCCCTCGGCTGAGGGAATGTTGTTTGGCGACAACTTTGTCAAAGACTTGGGATCTTATGTGAAGACATTCACCGCCATTGACAAGGCCCAAGCCAATATGAAGAGGGTGTTTTCCCCTAGAGTTTTTGGAGGGGCTGGGCGCAACAGGAGCCGTCCACCCGGCTGGGGATTCAGGGGTTCGTTTCGAGCTTAAAGAGGCTCCTTCAAGAACTTTCCAGGAGCCCAGGCCGGCTCCATTCTTCCTATCCAGAGGGAGACCCTGGAATCCCCGCTACCCGAGAGGTGCCACGTTGGGCAGACGCCCTTATGGTGAGTACCCCTTCTTTCCCTTATGTTCAAGAGCGGGTGGCGGGCAGATTGGCACAGTTTTACAAGGCGTGGGCTGCCTTGACGACAGATGCTTGGGTTCTCCACACAGTAAAGGGTTACCATATAGACTTTGTGTTCATGCCTGTCCAGCTTTCTATCCCCAGGGAGCTGTCTCTCGCTCGAGATCAGGAAGAACTGATGATCTCAGAGATTGTGGAACTTAACGCCAAGGGTGCGATACAAGAGGTCCCGTTCACTCACCCAGGGTTTACGAGTGTAACGGATCGCCTGGCACCCCGACTGGGTACCTCCGTTGAAAGATGCTCCTAGCGCTTCCTGAGGACTCAAAGCACTGCAGCAGACACCACAATCACCGAACCAGAGAAGCGTATACCTTCTCTCAAGCATATGAATGCTGTAGACAGTTGAATAGGCACCATACGAATAGGTTTACTCTCCTAGCAGTCAAACTGGAACAGCATACAATGAATCCTTCCCCCAATAATGAGACGACACTTCACTTTGAGGGTTAAAACAGGAACTCCCTGTACTGTCACATACAGTCTCTTTTATTCCCAATCCACAAACATAGTACAGCCCACAGGGCGTTACAAAACAGCCAATCAATCCATACAATACACCCAGACACTCCCACACAAAATCCTACCCTCTGGCTGTGATATGATTACTGAACACAATGGGTAATCTAATTATCACAGCCAGAGAAATACAGTTTCATAAAACACATCACAGGGACCCCAAAACATGCAATAACCCCATAAAAGTATATCATTGGAACTGGGGGATCTGGGTGAACCACATAGCCAAAATTCACCCAGATCCGTTCAGTACTTTGGAAAATACAGTTTAATGCAGATTCTGCAGAACATATACAGGCTAAATAAAAAACAATCACTGTATAATGTGTCCCCTGCTGTATAGTCCAAAACCACTGCACAATGTCTCTGTGCAACAAATACTGGTGAGATGGCACCGTGTTGAAAAGTCCAAACAGTGTCTGGGAGTTAAAATGGCCACCATCCATTGTTCTCACCATGTGCTTCTGATACAGGAAATGGTGGCCACCCAGTAACTCCACAGTATGTCCCCAGATGGTTCTTAAAAGGGCCAGCAGCAGCACAACACAAATCCATTATGCCCAAATCATGTCTTTAAAGGGCAATACATTATTAACAGTTCATTACATTACACGCTATAACATACAATAGGAACCCCATACTGGCAACCCTTAAAGAGATAGTACAAAATAATGTCCAAGTGGCTAGCTTTGCCACAACGAGCAACCTCTTTTTGGTCCCGAAGAAAGGAGGAGGTGTGCGTCCCGTCATCAACCTCCGCCCCCTCAACGCCTTCCTTCAGTATCAGCAATTCCAGATGGAAGGCATCCATTGTCTTCGGGATCTCCTACAGGAGTCCGACTGGCTGGCCAAACTGGACCTGAAAGACGCCTATTTTACAGTTCCCATAACCGAGGAACACGGAGATTTTCTCCAGTTCACCTGGAAAGGAAGACGGTGGAAGTTTACATGTCTACCATTCGGGCTCTCCTTGGCCCCCTGGTGTTTCACCAAGGTCATGAAACCGGTGGTGTCCTTCTCCGAAGCCGTGGAGTTCATCTGATTATATATTTGGACGACATCCTACTGATGGCTCAATCAAGAGAGCAATTACAGCTTCATGTGACATGGACAACGTCTTTACTCCAGAACCTAGGTTTCCTCATCAATTGGGAAAAATTGATGTTAAACCCCACTCATTCAATAGAATTCCTGGGGTTTACAGTGGATTCCATCCAACAGTTCCTATTTCTCCCGGAGACCAAAATGAAGGAAATCAGGCGTACATTACGTGCAGACGATCCCTCTATCCGTCACCTGGCGAGGGTGATCGGCCTTTTGGCCGCCTCGATACAGGCAATATTTCCTGGACCACTCAATTATCGGGCCCTTCAGCGGCTGAAGGGCTCTCACCTGCGTGCAGGCCAATCTTACGAGATGAGAGTGAGACTGGATGAAGAGTCCAAAGACGAGCTGACCTGGTGGTTGGCCCACATGGACGGCTGGAACAGGAGAGCTATATTCGGATCCACCCCAGACGTAGTGATTGAATCGGATGCCAGCTTGCACAGCTGGGGTGCGCGTTGTGGTACCGCGTCTACCGGAGGCAGATGGTCAAACCAAGCGCAAACGCTCCATATCAACTGTCTGGAACTATTGACAGGGGCACTCACTATTAGCAGCCTTACACCAGAACGTGCGAATTGTTGCGTGATGTTCAGGATGGACAACGTGTCGGCGGTGCGTTACATCAACCACCTAGGAGGCACAAAATCGTGCATGTTAGCTCTCATGGCGAAGGACTTCTGGTGGTTCTGCCTTCGCAACAACATTTCTATGCAGGCAGAACATATACCGGGCCTGGACAATTTGATGGCCGATTGGAATTCACGCTACTTTAGAGACTCTGGAGATTGGCACTTACACGCTGCGGCATTCCAGGGATTGAATCAAATATGGGGCCCATTCGAAGTGGACCTCTTCGCATCCCGTCTCAACACACAAGTGCCCAAGTTCTTCAGTTGGAGACCAGACCCAGCAGCAGTGGCGACGGATGCATTCCTTCAGGAGTGGCGGAATGCTCGAATTTATGCTTTCCCCCATTCAATCTGATAGCTCGCACGCTATCGAAACTGACTCGACACGGCTGCTCAATGGTGTTGATCGCACCCCTGTGGCGGTCACGGCCTTGTTTCCCTCGGTTACTGGAGTTCACCGCAGATTACCCATGGCTGATACCAACCTTCCCGAATCTCCTGAGGGATCCGGATGGCAACTCGCACGAGTTAGTGGATTGCGGTCTTCTACATCTAATGGCGTGGCCCCTTTCAGGGGACCCAGGACTATCATGGGAGTTTCGCAATCAACTCTCAACCTCCTCGACAATGCATGGGCGCCGGGTACTTGAGTGGCATACCAATCCGCCTGGCGAATCTGGTCTAGTTGGTGCATGGGACGCACAGTGGATCCCGTATCTGCCCCTTTGCATATGATCATGGAATTCCTTACCGAGATGTTTGAATCTGTGAAGGCTTACCGCACCATTAATTTATGTCGATCTGCTATCTCAGCTGGGCATCAAGGTTTGGATGGTTCGCATGTGGGATGTCACCCCTTCGTATGCCGACTACTCAAGGGGATTCATCTCACTAGACCACCCTGTGCGAGATTCACTGCCTTTTGGGACGTGAATGTAGTCCTATGATTTTTATCATCTTGATACCCGAATCAAGATCTGACACAAACAGCTGTCGGCTAAGGTGCAGTGGCGTCTCTAGGATTCATTTTTCGGGGGGGCACATGGAGGGCCAGTGACAAAAGTAGGGGGGCACATTTAACCCCGCCCTCGCCGCAGTTTGACCCCGCCCCTGTCGCATGTTAAGCCACGCCCCCGACACAATGTGTTTTGTTTTTTTAATAATACCTGGTGGAGGATTCATTATTTTCCACCAGGGATCATTAAAAAAAAAAAACACATTATCCTTGATACAGTGCCATAGTTGACAACATTTGAAAAAAAATTTCCAAGGACATTTTGCAGCACAGCTATCAATTACTGTCTGGGTATAATATCCCTGGACAGTCAGTGCTCTCTGTATAATACAGGGTTGTGTGTATAATAAATTGGGACACTCAGTGCTCCCCGCATAGTGCTACTCTCTGTATAATACAGGTCTGTTTGTGTATAATATCCCAAGACAGAGAGCAGCACTATACAGGAAGCACTGACTATCCCGGGATATTTTATACACACAGATCTGTATTATACAGATAGCTGAGCATATACCCCAATCTCTAGACTACTAGTACCTGTCAACAGCAGCTCCCAGGCGCGTGTAACAGGGCTAAAGTGTGCGGCAGCTCACACAGGTTATTCAGCGGTAAAGTGCACTCGCTGGCAGAGCCAAACTGGGAATCCCTGGGAATCCAAAGCAGCCCTGGAAAAAAAAAACATATGCCATTCCTACAAGTCAATATATATATATATACATATATATATATATACCTAT